CGTCCATATTTCTCCTTTGACCACGCCTACAGGAAGTAACAACAGCTGATATACGATACGTCACCACCAACACCGGTGACAGTTCTGAAGATGCAGCAGCAGCAGCCGAAACATGTCAACAAGGTAAACACACTTTACTGCATTGTCTTTAAAAAGAACCCAAGAAGTTAATGATACAGAACTGCTCCAGGAGCTCGATGTGCTGATGGTAAACGCACAAATACAACAATAGATCCATGTTCTCTGTGGATTTTGACGGGGATATGCACCTATGTTCACGCAGAGCGTCAATAAAATAAGGATGGATCCTGTTTTCTGAAATCTTCACGCAGGACGAGCTGCTCCAAGTTCATCTAGTGCGTTCAGAGGAGCCGCCCTCAGTCACTTTCAGGACATTCTTCAAATGACACGTCCAAAAGTTGCAGTGACGTCTGTCACAGAAAGAACACATATAGTCGTGTCCTTTAGTCCGACAGAAGCTGATGCATCAGTGCACAAGGAAAAAGCTGCATTTTTCCAGCGTTTACAATTTATGCAAATGAGCCATGTGGTTTTAAGTTTCATTTCTGTAAGACGTAAACAAATGTGTCAAAGCTGAATTAAACACATTATAATCTCAAACGGGCTGATGTGGTTATGGTTAAGATCTTGTAAAGTTGTTGTAAACTGGAGTCAGTTTGAAAAATAAGTGCAGCCTTTTATTTACATACGTCACCTAAAAATAAAATGAACTGAACTTTGAACTAGTTCATGAAAAGTGTGAACTTGCACAGCACCAACACCGGGGTCGGTGTCACAGAGTCGTGACATTTGGAACAAAGAATCCAACATGATGAGGAACACAACAATAGAACATTACAGGGGTTTATGCATTTCTCTTTACAATTATTACAACATTTATACAGAAAAATATCAAAATGTGACAAGGACAAATCCTCTCCACAAACTGACTGTGACACATGGACATGGAATTACAGTTTCAGATGTAAATAGAAAACTTCCCCAATTTAGAGCCGTGACATTACGTTTAGTGGCCTTTGAATAAAAGAGAAAAACACAGATTTGATTCATTTAGACAAAACTGCAAAAAAGTCCAATCCCAAAGTCATGAGGAACTAAGTTACTTTCTTAAGGCAGTAACTAAGTAGTGTAATAGATTACATTTTGAACAAGTAACTAGTAATGAGTAACTAAAGAGTTTTTCAAAGTCACTTCCCCAACACTGAACAACACACGTCACAATGAAGTGTTGACATGATGAAATCAACAGAATGATGTTTGAACGACTAAAAGCAGCTCTTGGTTTCTTCATTAAGACTCAGACAATAAACTAGAGCAGGAGACAAAGACTTTTACACATCAGTTACTGCAAACCTGAAGGAAAATACTGCTTTTATAACAAACACAAACAATACAAATGCACTTTAGAAAGAATCAAGTCAAACCTTGTTTGAAGCAGCTGAAAGAGGCAGAGGGAACGTCACTTTAACACCAGGGAGTGTTGAGCTTTTATAATGTACGTCCTGGTGTCAGGTTTCAGAGACGACACAAGAATCCAGTCTGACGGCTTCTGTGAGTTTGTGCTGTGACACGGGCCAGAGTCTTATAAAGTACTGCCTTTGTGTCCTTGGGCAAGACACTTGACCCAGTGTGTTTGAATCAGGCTGTAGTCCTGTCGTCTTAGTCTGAGTCAAACAAAATGTGTTTTATATGTCAAAAAGAAGGTTTCATTTCTAAATATAGACACAAACTGTCACAGTTCTGCCTTTTTGTTTACATGTTTTCCTCAGTCCAGTTCCATTTCTCAGTCTGTTCCAGTCCTCCTTTTGCCACCTCCCTCTTTCCCTACAGCTGTCACTCATTCTCTAATCAGCCTAGTCTTTATTTACTCCTCCTGCTCACTCAGTCTTTGCCAGATTGTCGACCTGTTAAGACATTCAAGCTCCTGAAAACCTGAAATCTGAAAACCCTGTGTTCCCTGAATCTGATCTGCTTGTTTCTTCTGCAGTTCTGTGTTTCCCTGTTTGTCGTCCCTGTTCCTGAGTTTACTCAGTCTGTTTTTTACTAGTGTATTTCTCAGTCTTGGAAGATATTTTCGTTCACATTTAATATGATATATTCCTCTGTTATATTTTCAGTCTGAGTTGTCATTATAAACATTTCCTGTTATAGGACACTTTCAGTTATTTAAATGAGACGTTGTTTGCACTCCGCAAAGGCCATTTATTTCATTTTTTTACTTTTTTTTGAAAACGGGACACTCCTGCACATTAACAACAGGAGCAGAACAGAACACAGGAGCATCTGTGATATTTTGTCTGAATTCTAAACACAGAGAAGAGGAAAGGATTTGTCTAAAATGTGCGTTGGATTAAACACGTCTAAAGTTCAGGTTTCAAATGTTTTATTAATGCCAAATAAAATCTCCAGCACAGATGATGTAAAAGACAAACGTTCATCATTTGTATATTTGACTCTCAGATTTAGTTTAGAAAGTGTAAAAACTGTAAAAATGTTAAAGTGTAAATGTGTCCAGAGCCCAAAAGACTCAGAAAAACTTCAACACAAGATTTCAAACAAACACAATTGAACTCACAGCAAAAGTACAAAGCCAAAGTACTCAGTAAAAGTACACATTAAAATAACACAGTGTGACGGAGTCGCTCCGTCCGAGCGCGCGCTTACCTAAGCCCGTGCTAACTACCCACCTGGTTTCATTAATTCTGCACCGGTACCTCGCTCTGTTGCTCACTCCCCGTCTGTCCGCTCCGGTTCCCGCTACATATTTTCCATCCGCTCACCACCGCAGTACCTTGGGTGCACACAAGTCCGCTGCCAAATCCTTCACATCCATAACTTCATCTTCCATCTACCTTTCAGTATCCATCTCCCGTCCTCACGCCCACTGGCAAACAGAGCACCGGCCTGGCACTTCCTATTTCTGCTTTCGTGCGTGGGACCTTAGCATGTGACGTCATCGCCAAAAAAAAACACGGTTGATAATAAAATATTAATTTCTTATTTTCTATTGCTGCTACAGGCGCAGGGAGATGGCCATGTAATTTACTATATTTTTCTGGGTTTCTCCTTATTTCGTTGTTATCAATAATTTGGGTTTTAAGGGTGAAAACCATTTCTTAGTTAATTGGCTTGGGGGAGGAGTCATGGGGGATAAAAGAGCCACTCTCCCTCAGTCAGTTTAAACCTGGACCTGCAAGAGGAAGGTAATATACCAGAGATTTAAGTGTACTTTTGCTGGTGTGTGTATATATTGTAAATACTTTTTCTTTGTTGTTTCACTATTTTTCTGTATAGCACTCTTCAAACTTTCTTATTTGGGAATGTTCACATTTATTAAACACTCAAAAACATCCTTCTGACTACACCATCGTTATTACAGTACGATAGAACCCTGTCACACACAGTAAAAGTACAAAGTCAAAGTACTCAGTAAAAGTACTCATTAAAATAACACAGTAAAAGTACAAAGTCAAAGTACTCAGTAAAAGTACTCATTAAAATAACACAGTAAAAGTACAAAGTCAAAGTACTCAGTAAAAGTACTCATTAAAATAACACAGTAAACGTACTCATTAAAATAACACAGTAAAAGTACACTGGAAGAGTTCTCAGGAAAAGTACACGATAAAAGTATACGGTAAAAGTATGCAGTAAAAGTACATGGTAAGAGTACGCAGTAAGAGTACGCAGTAAGAGTACACTGTAAACATGCACAGTAAAAATACACTGTAAGAGTACACAGTAAAAGTACACAGTCACAGCACACAGTAAAAGTACACTGTAAACATGCACAGTAAAAGTACACAGTCAGAGTACACAGTCAGAGTACACAGAGTACACAGTGGGGGAGTCCAGACGAGGGGCTGTGGCGACATCTTGTGGTGGAATAATATTATTGTCATTGATCTTTTTAAAGTTGCACTCTGGAACATCTTTGGTGGAAGATACTTTTAAACCGTCTCCATGGAAACGAGCATGAGACGTCCCAGAACTAAACCAGGACTAAACCAGGACTAGACCAGGACCAAACCAGGACCAGACCAGGACTAGACCAGGACTAAACAAGGACTAAACCAGGGCTAGACTAGAACTAAACCAGAACTAAACTAGAACTAGACTAGAACTAAACCAGGACTAAACTAGAACTAGACTAGAACTAGACTAAACTAGAACTAGACTAGAACTAAACCAGGACTAGACCAGAAATAAACCAGGACTAGACCAGGACTAAACTAGGACTACACCAGGACTAGACCAGAACTAGACCAGAACTAAACCAGGACTAGACTAGAACTAAACCTGGACTAAACTAGAACTAGACTAGAACTAAACCAGGACTAAACTAGAACTAGACTAGAACTAAACCAGGACTAGACCAGAAATAAACCAGGACTAGACCAGGACTAAACTAGGACTACACCAGGACTAAGACCAGAACTAAACCAGACTAAACTAGAACTAGACAGACTAGACTAAACCAGACTAAACCAGACTAAACCAGACTACTAACCAGAACTAAACCAGACTAACCAGACTAAACCAGACTAGACTAAACCAGGACTAAACCAGAACTAACCAGGACTAACCAGACCAGACTACAGACTAGAACTAAACCAGACTAGACTAAACCAGACTAAACCAGACTAAACCAGGACTAAACCAGAACTAAACCAGGACTAGACCAGACTAACCAGGACTAGACCAGACTAAACCAGGACTAAACCAGAACTAAACCAGACTAACCAGACTAAACCAGAACTAAACCAGGACTAGACTAGAACTAAACCTGGACTAGACTAGAACTAAACCAGAACTAAACCAGAACTAAACCAGGACTAAACCAGGACTAGACCAGGACTAAACCAGGACTAAACCAGGACTAGACCAGGACTAAACCAGGACTAGACCAGAACTAAACCAGGACTAGACCAGGACTAAACCAGGACTAAACCAGAACTAAACCAGGAAACTAGAACTAAACCAGGACTAAACCAGAACTAAACCAGGACTAGACTAGAACTAAACCAGACTAAACCAGAACTAAACCAGGTCTAAACTGGGAACAGTCTATAAGTGGACCACAGTAACACTTGAGTCTTTGGGTTTGGTCACGGACACCAGCTGGTAAAGGGGTAGAGCAGACAGTGCACCGTCTTAAACCTGGAGGAAAACAAACAAACAAACAAAAACACACATTAAAAAACTAAAAATGTGTAAAAAAAAAACAAACAAAAAAAAAAACCCAAAACAAAAACAAAAAAACACTCCAATAATTTGTTGTTCTACGTGGAAATTTATTTTAGAGTACTTTAAACTTTTTTTTTTTTTTTTTTTTACCTTTTACATTCCTGTTAATTAAACATTATTTATTATTTATTATTCCATTTTACATCTTGGTTTTATTATTTTTTTGTTGCTGGGTCTGAACTGCGGCGCGATCAGTTCCATGTGATTGTCCTGAAAAGTAGGAAGTCGAACCTGGAGGGGTCCTGCTCCGCGCTGAAGCCGCCTCTGACCTCGACGGTGTTGAGTTTGTCGTCCAGCCTGCCGTAGCTCAGAGTGACCTGCAGGGGGAGACACGGGGCGTTAGGTAAAGGTTTAATACGGAACTTTCTGCCTGGAACTAAACGGAAGTCGTACGTCTCTGAGTGGGACAAAAACCTGTTTAAAAGTCTCAGGAAACGAGTCTGAATATGACACAAAACACACAGAACACACAAAAAATACACAAAAAAACTAAACACACAAAAAATACACAAAAAAACTAAACACACAAAAAATACACAAAAAAAAAAAACACACAAAAAATACACAAAAAAACTAAACACACAAAAAAACAAAAAACACACAAAAAAACTAAACACACACAAAAAAAAAAAAAAAAAAAAACACAAAAAACACACAAAACACACAAAATACAAAATACAAAACACACAAAATACACAAAACAGGCATTTGTCTGGTCTCGGTCTCAAAGGTGTTTGGACTTAGTCTTGTCTCGGTCTTAAAGGTTTTTGGACTCGGTTTTGTCTCGGTCTTGAAAGCGTTTGGACTCGGTCTTGAAGGCGTTTGGACTCGGTCTTGAAGGCGTTTGGACTCGGTCTTGAAGGCGTTTGGACTCGGTCTTAAAGGTCTGCGTTTGGACTCGGTCTTGAAGGACTCGGTCTTGAAGGCGTTTGGACTCGGTCTTGAAGGCGTTTGGACTCGGTCTTGTCTTGGACTCGAGGTCTGACACTCGTCGAGTTTGATCATATTTCCTTACGCTCGCTGCTGTCGGTGATAAACTTGTTACTGCGACATGTGGCTGAAGTTTGTCTAATAAAAGTGTCCAGTCTGTTTGTCATGACGTGTGTTTGTGAATGTGCAGAGGTGAATCTCACTGCAGAACCAACAACAGAACCTAACTCCAGTGAGAAACTTGAAAAAACTGGTTTAAAAATCCTACACACTTTCTTCACTTTGTTCACAGTTTTGTGTAAAAGGCCAGAGGAAGTTCTCTTAAAGAACAGGTTCTGAAACTGTGGGTGAGGGTCCAGAAAAAGAGTGTTTCAGTGCAGAACAGATTGTTTGTTTTATTTTATGATGAAATTAACATTAATCTGACAAAATGGAAATAGATTTATAAAAACATTCATATATTTGTGTCAAAATTACTGTAAAATACAAATAAATTAGTATTTGTAAAAATGGTCTTTCGGTCTTGATGGGCCGTGGTCTTGGTCTTGTCTCGGTCTCGGGACCTTGTGGTCTTGGACAGGTCTTGGTCTAGTTTAATGTGTCTTGATTACAACACTATTCTAGACCGTAGACCCTGTCGCCTGAGGTGATCGAGCCGTGTGGGTCTCCAGGTGAGTCCTGCACCTGTCTCACCAAGTTCTTTAGTTCCAGGTGAGTCCAGCACCTGTCTCACCAAGTTCTTTAGTTCCAGGTGAGTCCAGCACCTGTCTCACCAAGTTCTTTAGTTCCAGGTGAGTCCAGCACCTGTTTCACCAAGTTCTTTAGTTCCAGGTGAGTCCTGCCCCTGTCTCCTGACGTCCTTGTGCTGTATTTTTCTCCAGGTAGATGATCTCACCTGTCTCCTGACGTTACGATGTCGTGTGCTCGTCCAGGTGAGTTTTACCTGTGAGCTCAGGTCCTTCTGCTGCACCAGGAGCAGGTTCTCCAGGTGGGAGTGGAACAGGGGGCAGTGGACCATGGACAGTCCCAGTCTCTGCTCCACGATGAAGCCCACGGTGCAGTCGTCAGGGAGACGGATCAGAGCCGACGTCTTCTCGAACTCAGACCCACTGAGAAAAAACACACAAAACACATGAAAAACACACAAAACTCACAACACAAAAAACACAAAAACACATAAAACACACAAAAAACACGAACAAAATGCACAAAAAGCAAAACACAAGACGCACAAAACATGAAACACACGAAATGCACAAACACAAAAAACACAAAACAAAAAGCATACAACACATAAAACACAAAAAACAAAACACACAGAACACACAAAAAATGCACAAAACACAAAAAATGCACAAAACGCATAGAACACACAAAACAAAAAAACACAAAACACAAAAAACAAAACACACAAAAAACACACAACACATAAAACACATGAGCTTTATTCACATTTTTTCAGACTTTACTAATGTTTTTTATCCTGGAGACTCATGGAACTTTCTCTCGTGTTCTATCAACGTTTCCTCATCAAAAACCTGTCTGAAGGTTTTAGATTCATTCACACATGTTTGAATAATCTAGCGATCTCTCCCACAAGCCTACGTCACCCATGCTCCACACGACAATTCTCCATAAATACACAAAAACATGATATAAAACTGCACAAAACTCACTGGAGTTAGAGACGTTTCATGTTTCCTCAAAAATGTGTGAATGAAACAAATCACAAGTCGGTGTGTGTTTTTGAGGAACACGGTTTAAAGTTCACAAGAGTCAGTTTGGTGTTTTGAATCTCACCTGGCCCACGGAGCCATCCTCTCTGCCACAACTCGACTCAGGCAGAAACCAGCGCCTCCTGTGGCGAACCAGAAGTGCACCTCCCTCTGCGAACGACAACGACACGACAACGACACGACACGACAACGACACGACAACGACACGACAACGACACACACGACACGACAAACACACGACAAACACACGACAAACACACGACGACAACACAACGACAAACACACACGACAACGACACGACAAACACACGACAAACACACGACAACGACACGACAAACACACGACAACGACACGACAACGACACGACAACGACACGACAAACACAACGACAACGACACGACAACGACAAACACGACAACGACACGACAACGACACGACAAACACACGACAAACACACGACAAACACACGACAACACACGACAAACACACGACAACAACACACGACACAACGACACGACAAACACACGACAAACACACGACAAACACACGACAAACACACGACAACGACACGACAAACACACGACAACACACGACAACGACACGACAACGACACACGACAACGACACGACAAACACACGACAAACACACGACAACGACACGACAACGACACGACAACGACACGACAACGACACGACAACGACACGACAAACACACGACAAACACACGACAACGACACGACAACGACACGACACGACAACGACACGACAACGACACGACAAACACACGACAACGACACGACAAACACACGACAAACACACGACAAACACACGACAAACACACGACAAACACACGACACACGACAACACACGACACACGACAAACACACGACAACGACACGACAACGACACGACAACACACGACAACGACACGACAACGACAACGACACAACAAACACACGACAACGACAAACACACGACAAACACACGACAAACACACGACAAACACACGACAAACACACGACAAACACGACACGACAAACACACGACACACACGACAAACACACGACAACACACGACACAACACACACGACAACACACGACACGACACACACGACAAACACGACAAACACGACGACAACACACGACAACGACAACACGACAAACACACGACAACACACGACAACAACACGACGACAAACACACGACAAACACACGACAAACACACGACAAACACACGACAACACACGACAACGACACGACAAACACACGACAAACACACGACACACGACAACACACGACAAACACACGACAACACGACACGACAAACACGACAACACACGACAACACACGACAAACACACGACAACACACGACAAACACACGACAAACACACGACAAACACACGACAAACACACGACAAAAACACGACAACACACGACAAACACACAAAACACACGACAACCACACGACAACGACACGACAAACACACGACAAAAACACGACAAACACACGACAAAACACGACAAACACACGACAAACACAACAAACACACACAGATTTGTTTAAGGACTTGTGCTTGTAAAAGTAAAAAGTAAAAGTAAAAGTGTTTCTGCACATGGAGGAACAGAGACTTTGTGTCGTCACTAAACTGAACTTTCAAAACTTGATTTTTGAGACGAAATGTAACACAAAATATTTAAATGAACACGTCCCGACCCGAGGGAGCGAGTGTCTGAAAGAGTTGTTCACTGTGGAAAACAAATTCTAACAAACCCATGAACACGACTGTAAGACTGTGTGAAGTGTCCGTGTCTGTGTGTGTGTGTGTGTGTGTGAAGTGTCCGTGTGTGTGTGTGTGTGTGTGTGGTGTGTGTGTGTGTGTGTGTGTGTGTGTGTGTGTGTGTGTGGTGTGTGTGTGTGTGTGAAGTGTCCGTGTGTGTGTGAAGTGTGTGTGTGTGTGTGTGTGTGTGTGAAGTGTCCGTGTGTGTGTGTGTGTGTGTGTGTGTGTGTGAAGTGTGTGTGTGTGTGTGTGTGTGTGTGTGTGTGAAGTGTCCGTGTCTGTGTGTGTGTGTGTGAAGTGTCCGTGTGTGTGTGTGTGTGTGTGAAGTGTCCGTGTGTGTGTGTGAAGTGTCCGTGTCTGTGTGTGTGTGAAGTGTCCGTGTGTCTGTGTGTGTGTGTGTGAAGTGTCCGTGTGTGTGTGTGAAGTGTGTGTGTGTGTGAATGTGTGTGAAGTGTGTGTGTGTGAAGTGTCCTGTTGTGTGTGTGTGAAGTGTCCGTGTGTGTGTGAAGTGTCCGTGTGTGTGTGAAGTGTCCGTGTGTGTGTGAAGTGTCCGTGTGTGTGTGTGTGTGTGAAGTGTCCGTGTGTGTGTGTGAAGTGTCCGTGTGTGTGTGTGTGTGTGTGTGTGTGTGTGTGTGAAGTGTCCGTGTGTGTGTGTGAAGTGTCCGTGTGTGTGTGTGTGAAGTGTCGTGTGTGTGTGTGTGAAAGTGTCCATGTGTGTGTGAAGTGTCCGTGTGTGTGTGAAGTGTCCGTGTGTGTGTGAAGTGTCTGTGTGTGTGTGAAGTGTCGTGTGTGTGTGTGTGTGTGTGTGTGTGAAGTGTCTGTGTGTGTGTGAAGTGTCCGTGTGTGTGAAGTGTCCGTGTGTGTGTGAAGTGTCCGTGTGTGTGTGAAGTGTCTGTGTGTGTGTGTGAAGTGTCCGTGTGTGTGTGTGTGTGTGTGTGTGAAGTGTCCTGTGTGTGTGTGAAGTGTCCATGTGTGTGTGAAGTGTCCGTGTGTGTGTGTGTGTGTGTGTGTGTGTGTGAAGTGTCCTGTGTGTGTGTGTGTGTGTGTGTGTCCGTGTGTGTGTGAAGTGTCCGTGTGTGTGTGAAGTGTCCGTGTGTGTGTGAAGTGTCCGTGTGTGTGTGTGTGTGAAGTGTCCGTGTGTGTGTGTGTGTGTGTGGTGTGTGTGTGTGAAGTGTCCGTGTGTGTGTGTGTGTGTGTGAAGTGTCCGTGTGTGTGTGAAGTGTCCGTGTGTGAAGTGTCCGTGTGTGTGTGTGTGTGAAGTGTCGGTGTGTGTGTGAAGTGTCCGTGTGTGTGTGTGAAGTGTCCGTGTGTGTATGGTGCAGTGTGTTACCGTCGTGTTGTCCTCCAGCAGCTCGTGGGCGCTCAGGGGCCGGTCGAGACTCGCTCTGCCCACGTACACCTCCCCGTCCTGGGGGAAGGAGCGCAGCAGAGACAGCAGAGCTCCAGGGTTCAGGTAGTTGTCATCGTCCACGTGACAGAACCACCTGATCACAGGAAACACGACGCGTCACCGACCGCGACGCGTCACCGGCCGCGACGCGTCACCGACCGCGGCAGAGTCGACGGCACTGAACATCACACTGAACACCACGTTTCTGTTAGGGTTTTGATGCTCTGAGTCTCTAAGTCACTAAGTCGCTCCCCCTTCAGAGCACCATCACACACACTCGCTGTGCGTCGCACTCATGAAACATCAGGTTCGTCCAGTCGCTGTGTTCGGTTTTGTGTCGAGTTTTTGTGTTTTTACGGAGAATCGGAGGAGGATTTACGGTGGCGGGGGGCGCAGGCTTGTGGGCGGAGACTCGTACTGGGTTTGACTAGAGCCCGAGAGGAGGAGAGATCTCTAGATGAGTCAAACATGAGACTCGAAACCTCTTGATGGTCAGAATGTTGGAGAAAGATGAAAAAAGTGAGAAACAGGACTTGAGACGTTTGCAGTGTCCAGCCTCACCACTAGAGGGAGCCACAACACTGCAGGTGTCAGTCCTGTTCCTCTTCCTGCGGTGAGGAAGTCGACGCGACAAAAACCTCACGTGACAAAATGAAATTATTTGAAAATTTGTGTTTCTTGCAGCTGCTTCACGTCTGATTCAGTTTGTCTCATTTTTGTGTCTGTCTTTGGGAAACACTAGATTTTGGGATTTATTTCAGGTTTTGTCAAATTCACTTCACTTCAAATACTTCAGATCATTTCTTGGAGTTCTACTTTGTACTTCTACTTGAGTAATATTATTTAGACCTGGTTTAGTCCTGGTTTAGTCCTGGTTTAGACCTGGTTTAGTCCTGGTTTAGTCCTGGTTTAGACTGGTTTAGTCCTGGTTTAGTTTAGACCTGGTTTAGATCTGGTTTAGACCTGGTTTAGTCCTGGTTTAGTCCCGGTTTAGACCCAGTTTAGTCCCGGTTTAGTCCCGGTTTAGTCCCGGTTTAGTCCTGGTTTAGACCCGGTTTAGTCCCGGTTTAGTCCTGGTTTAGACCTGGTTTAGACCCGGTTTAGTCCTGGTTTATTCCTGGTTTAGTCCCAGTTTAGACCTGGTTTAGTCCTGGTTTAGTCCCGGTTTAGACCTGGTTTAGTCCTGGTTTAGTCCCGGTTTAGTCCTGGTTTAGTCCCGGTTTAGTCCCGGTTTAGACCTGGTTTAGTCCTGGTTTAGACCTGGTTTAGTCCCAGTTTAGACCTGGTTTAGTCCTGGTTTAGTCCTGGTTTAGTCCCTGGTTTAGTCCTGGTTTAGTCCTGGTTTAGTCCCGGTTTAGTCCTGGTTTAGTCCTGTTTAGTCCTGGTTTAGACCTGGTTTAGTCCTGGTTTAGTCCTGGTTTAGTCCTGGTTTAGACCTGGTTTAGTCCTGGTTTAGTCCTGGTTTAGACCTGGTTTAGTCCCTGGTTAGTCCCGGTTTAGACCTGGTTTAGTCCTGGTTTACCGGTTTAGTCCTGTTTAGTCCTGGTTTAGTCCTGGTTTAGTCCTGGTTTAGTCCCGGTTTAGTCCTGGTTTAGTCCTGGTTTAGTCCTGGTTTAGTCCTGGTTTACCTGGTTTAGTCCTGGTTTAGTCCCGGTTTAGTCCTGGTTTCCTCCTGGTTTAGACCTGGTTTAGTCCTTTAGTCCTGTTTTGTTTAGTCCTGGTTTAGTCCTGGTTTAGTCCTGGTTTTTCCTGGTTTAGTCCCGGTTTAGTCCTGGTTTAGTCCTGGTTTAGTCCTGGTTTAGTCCTGGTTTAGTCCCGGTTTAGTCCTGGTTTAGACCTGGTTTAGACCTGGTTTAGTCCTGGTTTAGTCCTGGTTTAGTCCTGGTTTAGACCTCCGGGTTTAGACCGGGACTAGAGTGGTCTGGTCCTGGTCTGGTCCTGGACCTGGATCAGTCCTGGTTCAGTTCGGCATCACAGTCACTGAAGTCACGTAAACGGGAAACGGTTATTATCTGTTTTTTTCCATTTTTCATTTAAACACAAAATCGAAAACTGAAAAAAACGAATCTTTATCTGTTTTTTTCATTTTGGTTTTGGAGACAAATAATGAAGAAAATAGTTGTTGTTTTTTTCATTTTCTTATTTTTGGTTTTATATTAAAAAACGAATGAACGAACAACACACGGATTTTTTGGACACGTCACTTTCAGAAGTTCTGAAAGTGTTAGATGAAAGTGTGGAGGTTTCAGAAAATAAAATCCATCCTGTTTTTTGACGCTCTACGTGACATTGGACAGAATCCTGCTCTGTGTGTGTTTCGACGGGGACACGGGTCTAAAGTCCCGTCGGGTGGAACAGTCCCGGACTGGAGTCGGGTCCTGTGGTCCTGACCAGAGACTCTCACCTTTTGTTGGAGCTGATGAAGCCGTCGTATTCAGCAGACATTTTACAAGACAGAGACTCCTGACTGTGATCAGACCCACACCCGGTCACCTCCACATGAAACCCTCAAACACACACCGGGTTAGACCTGGATTAGACCTGGTTTAGTCCTGGTTTAGTCCTGGTTCAGTCCTGGTTTAGTTCTGGTTTAGTCCTGGTTTAGTCCTGGTTTAGTCCTGGTTTAGTTCTGGTTTAGTCCTGGTTTAGTCCTGGTTTAGTTTCCTGGTTTAGTCCTGGTTTAGTCCTGGGTTTAGTCTGGTTTAGTCCTGGTTTAGTCCTGGTTTAGTCCTGGTTTCCTGGTTTAGTCCTGGTTTAGTTCTGGTTTAGTCCTGGTTTAGTCCTGGTTTAGTTCTGGTTTAGTTCTGGTTTAGTCCTGGTTTAGTCTGGTTTAGTCCTGGTTTAGTCTGGTTTAGTAGTCTGGTTTAGTCCTGGTTAGTCCTGGTTTAGTCCTGGTTTAGTCCTGGTTTAGTTTTTCTGGTTTAGTCCTGGTTTAGTCCTGGTTTAGTTCTGGTTTAGTCTGGTTTGGTTTAGTCCTGGTTTAGTCCTGGTTTAGTTCTGGTTTAGTCCTGGTTTAGTTCTGGTTTAGTCTGGTTTAGTCCTGGTTTAGTTCTGGTTTAGTCCTGGTTTAGTCCTGGTTTAGTCTGGTTTAGTTCTGGTTTAGTCTGGTTTAGTCCTGGTTTAGTTCTGGTTTAGTCTGGTTTAGTTCTGGTTTAGTCCTGGTTTAGTCTGGTTTAGTCCTGGTTTAGTTCTGGTTTAGTCCTGGGTTTAGTCCTGGTTTAGTCTTTAGTCTGGTTAGTCTGGTTTAGTCCTGGTTAGTTCTGGTTTAGTCCTGGTTTAGTTTGGTTTAGTCCTGGTTTAGTTCTGGTTTAGTCCTGGTTTAGTCCTGTTTAGTTCTGGTTTAGTCCTGGTTTAGTCTGGTTTAGTAGTCTGGTTTAGTCCTGGTTTAGTCCTGGTTTAGTTCTGTTTAGTCTGGTTTAGTTCTGGTTTAGTCCTGGTTTAGTCCTGGTTTAGTTCTGGTTTAGTTCTGGTTTAGTTCTGGTTTTCTGGTTTAGTCCTGGTTTAGTTCTGGTTTAGTCCTGGTTTAGTTCTGGTTCAGTCCTGGTTTAGTCCTGGTTTAGTTCTGGTTTAGTCCTGGTTTAGTCTGGTTTAGTCCTGGTTTAGTTCTGGTTTAGTCCTGGTTTAGTTCTGGTTTAGTTCTGGTTTAGTCTGGTTTAGTCCTAGTCTGTTTAGTTCTGGTTTAGTCTGGTTTAGTCCTGGTTTAGTCCTGGTTTAGTTCTGGTACCTGACGACTTGAGTTCTTCATCTTCAGCATCAGTGAAAATAAAAGTCTGAAAAAAAAAAAAAAAAAGAAAAAAAGTTTTATTGTTACTTTACAGTTTTTAACTTTGGCGTCTTTGTACTGCAGTAACAGTACTGTGTCTGGAGTAATATTTGTACTGCAGTAACTGTATAGTACTGGAGTAATATTTGTACTGCAGTAACAGTAGTACTGTGTCTGGAGTAATATTTGTACTGCAGTAACAGTACTGTGTCTGGAGTAATATTTGTACTGCAGTAACAGTACTGTGTCTGGAGTAATATTTGTACTGCAGTAACAGTACTGTTACTGCGTCTGGAGTAATATTTGTACTGCAGTAACAGTACTGTGTCTGGAGTAATATTTGTACTGCAGTAACAGTACTGTTACTGTGTCTGGAGTAATATTTGTACTGCAGTAACAGTACTGTGTCTGGAGTAATATTTGTACTGCAGTAACGTACTGTCAGTACTGCAGTGTAACTGTGTCTGGAGTAATATTTGTACTGCAGTAACAGTACTGTGTCTGGAGTAATATTTGTACTGCAGTAACAGTACTGCGTCTGGAGTAATATTTGTACTGCAGTAACAGTACTGCGTCTGGAGTAATATTTGTACTGCAGTAACAGTACTGTGTCTGGAGTAATATTTGTACTGCAGTAACAGTACTGTGTCTGGAGTAATATTTGTACTGCAGTAACAGTACTGTGTCTGGAGTAATATTTGTACTGCAGTAACAGTACTGCGTCTGGAGTAATATTTGTACTGCAGTAACAGTACTGTGTCTGGAGTAATATTTGTACTGCAGTAACAGTACTGCGTCTGGAGTAATATTTGTACTGCAGTAACAGTACTGTGTCTGGAGTAATATTTGTACTGCAGTAACAGTACTGTGTCTGGAGTAATATTTTGTACTGCAGTAACAGTAGTACTGTGTCAGTAATATTTGTACTGCAGTAACAGTAGCGTCTGGAGTAATATTTGTACTGCAGTAACAGTACTGTGTCTGGAGTAATATTTGTACTGCAGTAACAGTACTGTTACTGTCTGGAGTAATATTTGTACTGCAGTAACAGTACTGTGTCTGGAGTAATATTTGTACTGCAGTAACAGTACTGTGTCTGGAGTAATATTTGTACTGCAGTAACAGTACTGTGTACTGTGTCTGAGTAATATTTGTACTGCAGTAACAGTACTGTGTCTGGAGTAATATTTGTACTGCAGTAACAGTACTGTTACTATGTCTGGAGTAAAAGTTGCGTTTCCTCTTTTCAAATCTTCATGTGACATTTGTCTTTTTTTTGTGTTTGTTTTTTGAAAATATCAGATTTTGGATTTTATTTTCTGGTTTTTCTTTTCACTTTCCTGATCTCAAAAAAATAAAACAACAAAGAGAGAAAATAAATCTAAACGTTGATCATAAATTCCAAAAAATAAAAAGTAGAAATGTGAAAAGACGAGTGTGAAAAGACGTGATGATGTAAAAGTACAAACGTGTGTGAGTCTGACGACCAGCACTTTGACGAGTCGAGTCGAGTCGCGTCGCCGCGTGAACTCTGAACTGTTTATTTCCTCTTTTACAAAAACTCAAACAGGAAGTGACAGAAAACAGAACAGGAAGCAGCTCTGAGTTCAACGATTTTAATCTACAACTACAGAGACAACGACCTGTTAGACCTGGTTTAGTCCTGGTTTAGTCCTGGTTTAGACCTGGTTTAGTCCTGGTTTAGACCTGGTTTAGTCCTGGTTTACCTGGTCCCTGGTTTTAGTCCCTGGTTTAGACCTGGTTTAGTCCTGGTTTAGTCCTGGTTTAGACCTGGTTTAGACCTGGTTTAGTCCTGGTTTAGACCTGGTTTAGACCTGGTTTAGACCTGGTTTAGACCTGGTTTAGTTCTGGTTTAGTCCTGGTTTAGACCTGGTTTAGACCTGGTTTAGTCCTGGTTTAGTCCTGGTTTAGTCCTGGTTTAGTCCTGGTTTAGTCCTGGTTTAGTCCTGGTTTAGACCTGGTTTAGACCTGGTTTAGACCTGGTTTAGACCTGGTTTACCTGTTTACCTGGTTTTAGACCTGGTTTAGACCTGGTTTAGACCTGGTTTAGGCCTGGTTTAGTCCTGGTTTAGTCCTGGTTTAGTCCTGGTTTAGTCCTGGTTTAGTTTCCTGGTTTAGTCCTGGTTTAGTCCTGGTTTAGTCTGGCCTGGTTTAGTTTCCTGGTTTAGACCTGGTTTCCTGGTTTAGTCCTGGTTTACCTGGTTTACCTGGTTTTAGACCTGGTTTAGACCTGGTTTAGTCCTGGTTTAGACCTGGTTTAGTCCTGGTTTAGACCTGGTTTACCTGGTTTAGACCTGGTTTAGACCTGGTTTAGACCTGGTTTTTCTGGTTTAGTCCTGGTTTAGACCTGGTTTAGTCCTGGTTTAGTCCTGGTTTAGTCTGGTTTTAGTCCTGGTTTTTGAGGTGCGGCCGTGTGGAGGCAACAAAACTGAATATGCCTTTTCCTCTTAAAATGAACTAAGATTTGAAAGTGTTTAGATATTTTAAAATTTCATTTTATTGTAAATGTAAATATTGGCTCCTCCTGTTCAATAATGTTTCTTATTCATTGCTTCATTTGTATTTCTTTATTTTCTGTGTAATAATGAAATGAAATAAAATGAAAAATAAAATAAAATAAATATAACATAAAATAAATACAATAAAATGAAAAGTAAAGTAAAATAAAAATGAAGTGAAAAATAAAATAAAATAAATGAAATATAAAATAAAAAATTAAATGAAAATAAAATAAAATACAATATAAAAAAATATAAAAAAAATAAAATGAAAATAAAAAAATAAAATTATAATGAAAAATAAAATACAATAAAATAAAATAAAAAATACTTAAAATTAAATTGAATTAAAATAAAAAAATAAAATAAAACAAGAGCAAAAAAAAAAAAAGCGAAATGAAAAATAAAATGTAATAAAATAAAATGAAGCTGAACTGACGTGTTCTTTGGTTCTGGAGATCCACGTGAGCAGGAGCAGCTCCAGGCGCGTCCGGTGGAACCTCCGCGTGGTTTTCACCGCGATGTAAACGTCCTCCAGACTCAGCGGGCGCGCGGTGACCCCGCGCCGCGGGTCAGAGGCGCGTGGCCCGGGCGCAGCGGGGGGCGCGCGGAGCTCTTGGATGGAGCGGCGCTCGGCCGTGACGGAAGCCGCCGGAGACGCGCTGTTTCCGGGCGCGGGTCGGGGCGGGGGTCCGGGGCGCCGCTGGAGGTTCAGGCACATCAGCGCGAGGAAGAAGAGGAGGATACAGAGCGGGAGCGCGCGCCGCACACACGTGCGCTTTGGCATCGTGCGTGACAAAAGTTTAAATCCGCGTGAAGCGCGTCGCGACGCAGCGGCCCCCCATCACCACACACTCTCTGTGTGTGTGTGTGTGTGTGTCTCTGTCAGTCTGTGTGTGTCTGTGTGTATGTGTGTGTCTCTGTCAGTCTGTGTGTGTGTGTGTGTCTCTGTCTGTGTGTGTCTGTGTGTGTCTCACGGAACAACTAAAACGGAACAAGTGCACTTCCTGTTTCTAACCCAGAGCAAAATGTGAGAGAGAAAAAGAGAGAGAGAAGAGGAGGATGTAGCAGTAGTGGTGTGTGTGTGTGTGTGTGTGTGTGTGTGTGTGTGTGTGTGTGTGTGTTTGTGTGTGTGTGTGTGTGTTGTGTGTGTTTGTGTGTGTGTGTGTGTGTGTGTGTGTGTGTGTGTGTGTGTTGTGTGTGTGTTTGTGTGTGTGTGTTGTGTGTGTGTTGTGTGTGTGTGTGTGTGTTGATTCTCCACAATAAAGTTTCACTCTTCAGGACCTG